CGGGTGCCCGTGGCCATGGCCGTGTCCGTGTCCATGAGTGTGTCCGTGGGGTCCTCCTTGCCTGCTACCACCGCGGCCACCCTGGCCCCCTCCGCCGGGCCCTCCGCCATACCTGGCCGGTACCTCATCTCCAAACCGCGCCATTCTCTGGACACCGAAATCCAATCTTCACGAAGCAGCGGAGAAGGAGACCAATGCTCAGCTGTGCAGCCACACAACATTACATCCCATCTGGATCGGAACGTCTCATATGCACAACGGGTTGTCTTGTTGGTCTAATGCTGAACACCTGCACCCGGCGAGCAGTTATATGATGCTTTTAGCAGACGAGGACGCCCATGTACTGTCTCCTTCTCGGTGCGTCTCTGCCAACGGCCAATTGTGGGTGTGAGGAAATGAAATGTGCGGTCGTTTGGCTGACTGCTTGCACTGTGGGGTAGTGCTGTGGGGTGTCTCAGTCTAAGTCGGTTCTTATGTCCGTATGAAGCAGGATTCGCCCCCAACATGAAATCATGGGGAGACTGTAGCGACTTAACATGAATGTTTCATGTTCTCCATGGTTCATGCCTGTATCAGAGCGCACCGCAGCCTCCTGCACCTTTCTGCACGATTTATTCCTTTACTCTCATAACAGCGTGTAATCGAAATGTAAACGCCTTTAATATCACACAGGCCTCAATAAATCTGATTTCGAATATAAATCTGAAAATAATTAACAGCCTAGAGCTACGGCCGTCACTAGCGTCCAACTTGGCATTTTAGAAACAGAGACTTAAAAGGCATCGAAAAGGGAAAAAGCCACTATTATTTATTTATTTAAAACATCCGCAATGTTTGGCACAGTGTGGCAATAATGGGGCTCCCGCCACCTTACAGTTGTTTTACTAGTGCGCTCTGACAAGCCTTGATACCAGGATATTGTGACATTTGTTATTAATGCGTATTATTCAGACTAGACAATCTCGAAGAGAAAGGTGAAAGAAAAATACCGTTTTCCTTTGAAATATCAGTGTCATTGCTGTCGAGCGTTGAAGATCAAATAATGTTCTCAAACGAATTCAATAACATCCTCCTTCGTTGCATCCATCATCTTCTCTCCGTCACCTGCGCGGCCATCCAGAAGCTGAGAAAGGGACACACGGACCGCGTCGTCAAAGACAAGGGTATGCCGGCCGCTTCTCCGCCGTCTTACACCCTCTCATGATCTTGGTTTGGCTGTTCGAGGTGCAGTAGTGCCGAGAAAGTCCCTCACCATACCCGCCCCGAAAAGTCTACCTTCGTCCGCACTGATAAGCCCAAATGTCCTGGCAGAGCGTCTTTTCTCTCTCTCTCATTGGAGTAGGGTAGAGCGTTCCTCACGGCCTCCTCGCTCGTCGTCCAGCAGCCCCAAGGGGAGGAGGAGGAGGGACAGACGGACGGACGGACAGATAGATCGGTGAATGGATGAAGAAAAAAAATGAAAAGGGAGGGGACCGACTGTTTTTTTGGAATTCTAGCCGGTGTCTGCCTATAAATCAAATAAGTCGCACCGCGCACAAAATCGTTGTCTCTCAGTGTGTGTGAATTATAATGTGAGCCTGCTCGGTTCTGCAGCCGCAGCACATGACGCACGCAGCCTGTCCAACTTCCAAACATATGTCACGCAGGGAGGCATCGACATAGCCTGTTTATTTTAAGGTGCTTCAGGCTGCAGCCCTGACCAGTTGGACGGTACCTCTCAAGCAGCCCAACTCATATGTATCTCAGATAATGCGTAAAAGAGCCTGTTGGCGTAGAGGGTGAGGTGACAACTATGTGACTGTGTTTCTCATTTCCGTCCACCTCTGTATGAGTGGATACTTCATAAAGACCTAATAAGAATGCTCATTATAGCCAGATGCACGTGTGACGGAGAGGAGGGGTGTTGGCATCATGCAGCTTGTGCAAAGATACAGCTGCAACCAAAGCTCACAATGACTGCGCGCACACGGGCGCGTGAGAGAGTCTGCGTGTGTTTGTGGGAAGGTGGAGGGGGAGGCTATTCTTAGCAACAGACATTTGGAAATTAATGGACGAAGAGAGCTCTCTCCTCCCTCCCTCCCCCGAAACAAAGTCGAGGATGTTCTTCCCTGCTCTCCTCTCCTTTCCTTTCCTCTCCTCTCCTCAGGGCTTTTCTCATGGCTTCAAAACACGGGAGCCAAGGTGCGACAATATGTGTCATAGGTACAAATATTGTCAATGACATAACAAAGACAAAGTGAAGGGACAAAATGTCGATATATTATAGTCTGCAATCCCTTTAAGACAAGTTTTTCCCCCAAATAAATTCAATACACTAATTCTATGCCCAACACTGCAATGTTAATGGTGAAACAAATTCAGTTTTAGCATGAATAACTATTGTCTTTGACTGAAGGGAAGTCTTTATTGGGGCTGTTCATTGAGAGTGATTGCAAAGACTGGTCTTATATTCAATGAATGTCATGAGGCACTCTGGTAAACTGGTGCCACGTTACCCTGACCCCCGTATGTGGGGGGGAAGGCAGCAACCCACAACATCTTAATACGACATTATTTTACTCTATTATGTGACCTAATTGATTGACTCCAGTAAATATCCGCCTCAGTGAATGGGAAATGGTCATACATACAGATTTAAGGATGACCGGGAGAATTAATCTACCCCTTTGAAGAAATTGAATTAGTAAAGTAACATTACACGTGCAAACGCCAATCAATAACAGCACGACCTTAAATGTCTATTCGATATGTTAGAAAGGGATCGTTTTTCCTTGTGTCCACTTTAGCAAGGCTTCCTGTTGTGAGAGTTAGGCTGACCCCACCACAAGGGCATGAAGGAGAGAGAGAGAGAGATAAAATCAGGCTGATAGATAGATAAATAGATAGATAGATAGATAGATGGATGGATGAATGGATGGATGGATGGATAGATAGATAGATAGATAGATAGATAGATAGATAGATAGATAGATAGATAGATAGATAGATAGATAGATAGATAGATAGATAGATAGATAGATAGATAGATAGATAGAATAGATAGATAGATAGATAGATAGGATAGATAGATAAGATAGATAGATAGATAGCAATGTCTAATGTTGATATCATTCTAAGGCCCATGGACAGCACCAACATCAGCACACATTCCATAATGTGCTATCAGGACCATGGAGAGCGCCTTAATAAGACATTTGAAAGGGGCCTTATTAGGCTTTTGGGGGGGTTTCCCTGTCCTGTAGTGTGTTATAGGTTTTTGAGCATAAGCTTATAAACCCAAAGAAACGCATTAGAAACATAAAGAACAAATCATTATGAGATGTATAATTTGCAAAGAAATGCACAAACCTGTGTCTATGTAATTATATGATGCCTTATTAGTCCATTTATTGAATATGTCAGAAACAAAACAAACAACAATTATAATAATAATTAAATTAAAGAGAAGCAGAACAACAACAACAAACAATTCAAGGTACAAAAAGACAACAAATAAAATAAATGCTCAAATAGTCTCTGTCATGTTCAACAGGGGCAAGAAGAAGCGTAAACACTTTTCTGGTCCTACCCCCTCTACATTTTTGTTGAAAATAAAAGATTAGGTCAACGTCATCAGCATCCATGATATTGGATTGATTGTTTTTAAACCAATATTTTCTTATGTACAAAACAACCAAAACGATGTAATTATGCCTTACAGTTTAAATAGTTCATATTATCCATACGATGCGATGGGTGTTCAAACAGCGGATGCAGTTTGTTACACACTGTCTCATCTCAGCTCTCGGAAAAATCTGCAAAAGTAAAAACCTACACAAAATACATGATGCGGTGAGGACTGAATGCATTTCTTTTCTGCTTTTAAAAAAATGGTCTTCCAATTTGTTGTGCTGTTGTATCCTGTGTACGTGTGTGTTCACAAAAGTGTGTGTTTATGTTTGGGTGTGATGATCTGTGAAATGATCTATTGCCCTTCAGAGCCGGAGCCAGCAGCCTTCTGTCCAAACCTGTTATTCCACACAGCCAGCAGCAGCAGAAGCACTGAGGAGCAGTAGCATGCATTAAACATTGTTACCTCACAAGAACACATACACTGTCTCTATAGAAGACACAGAGATACACAAGCATATCTGTGTATTTATAGACTTGGCAGAGAAAAATAATGCAACATGATGTAGGCTGCCTGCCTGTTGTACTGCAGTATCTTTGTGAGTGTACATTTGTCAAGAACTAAAATGTTCTTTTTTTAAGAAAGGGGTACATAAATGCTTTTTGCAACCAAATACAATTATATGACAACACTTAGGCTTGTCACCATCATTAAAATAGTATTATATATTTCGGTGTGATTCAGTGATTTAAGTGATTGCCTTCAGGTAGATTTTGTTTGGATGCTGAAATCTGTGAGTAAGCGGTAGCGTCAACAACCGCATCTTCTCAAATACAATGTAATTATTCTGCCCATATATATGGATACATGTGCTTCTGATGACTGTTCTCTGTTGTTCTTCCTTCAGCTTGTTCATATGGTAGGTAGCTGTGAGGCTGGAGCTCTGAGGCGAGGGCCTAAAAAGGAGTGTCGAGACTCAATGATTCATAAGGCTGAATAATTCAATGGCCGAATGCATGTAGAACACTCCGCCCCTGCTGAACCCGGTCCTCCACAGAACCAATGCAGACTTCCATGTACACCTCTGCAAGGCTGCATCATATACAGCAAAGTATGGTTTGCAGCCATCTTTCAGTAAATGATATGTGTCAAAAACGCACTAACCATAACTTTCATGTTTACGTAACCAGAGTGAAAAGTAAGGTGAAGATGGAAGTGTCCAACCAGAGAGAATTGGGTCAGATGTTGCATTTGGAGTCTTTATGTGGGGTCTGTGGCACTGAAGCAAAAACATGTAAAAAAAGATTTTAAAAAAAACGTAAAAAAAAATTCTAATGAATTCCTTTGAATTATCATGAGATAAAATTGAATTACGTTTTTTTTACAAAGAGCTTAATAGTTGAACAATTATCTTTTAATGTAACAATCTAAAATAGGTTACAGATGAATTTATAATCTAACTAATTGTGTATGTGTGTGTGTGTTCTTTTACATTACTAAAATCATAGAGGTGTAATCAATCAGCTTATTTTTATATTTTTCTGTATTTGAATTCGATAATTTACAAATAACCAACTTTTTAAGATGGACTGGAAAAGTAAAAGGCCGTGATATAAAAAAATATCTTTAACACGGCCTCTTATTTTTTTCACTACACCAAAGTTGATACACACACTCAGGTATTGAAACTCTAGACAACATACGAGATAAGGTTTTTTTTTTATATACTGCATTTTCCCTGCTTTTACCCACTGTGAGTGTCCTTAGGACCTAGGTCAACCTCACTGTGTGCGCTTCACCTAAAAGTGAACTGACTGACTGAGCCTTTCACTGCCATAACATTGCTCGACATTCAATGGAAAGGAAATCACTTGAGGCAATTTAGCAGAATTCCCACAGTTCCTTCTGGAATCACAAAAAGGCTTACCGTTATATGACTTTTTAGTACTTCCTAAGAAAAACAGACACTGATGTGTTACATTGGTGCAGTTTCCCTTTAAGACAGGTTCAACACACATACCTTGTGAGCACTGGCTAGTATTTCTGTGGTGATTTCAGTTTAATTGCATGATTCACCAGAAGACATAATGATGCCTCCAGGACACGCTGACCAATGATAATGCAGTGAATCGTAGAAGCTTTAAATGAGTGCACCAACTGGGATTGAGAATATGAGCCCAAAACACTCATCGTGGCTGGATGAGTGTAATGCTGGGGGCATCAGCATGGCATCCAACAATGAAATGGACATCAGTGTGTGTGTGTGTGTGTGTGTGTGTGTGTGTGTGTGTGTGTGTGTGTGTGTGTGTGTGTGTGTGTGTGTGTGTGTGTGTGTGTGTGTGTGTGTGTGTGTGTGTGTGTGTGTGTGTGTGTGTTGGAGGGAAGGGGGGGTACGAGTTAGTTTTATTATGGATGCTCACTGACCGAGACCAACAGCAGGCTCACAGAAGGAGCACTAACAATCCTTGTATGTATGCAGCAGGCGTTTGGAATTGCATGTTACATATTGGCTAATGCTCACATGCTAAAAAGCTAAATGTGAATATGTGAGTATGATGGATAGACCAATGTGCAAAGAAACCTAAATAAGAACTCCTAAATAATGCTATCTATATAATTATATAGAATGATGCAGGTGGAGAAATCGTACGTTTCCTCTTTTACCTTCCTCTGTTTCTCGATCTCCTCCTGGCTCCCTGACAGTTACCCTTCTTAGATCCGAGCCGTCTGATACACAATTTAAACATCAGTTTTAGGATCTACAGATTTCCTGTGAGGGTAGAGGAAGTGTCTCACTCTCCTTGTTTACCCATTTTCCACCGTTCGCCTGTAAACAAAAGATGGAGCAGAACGGAGAGGGAGAGAGAGACAGCAGTAAACTGTCCTTGGTGGTAAATAGCCTGGTGTTTTTTTCTGGGAGATTCTCTTTTGAGGATGAAGTCACCACCTAATCTGCTCTCAGAGCTCTCCCTTTCTTTTGATATTGCATTTATTTTTCAATCCTTCAAATGTGTTTCCCATCCCCCTTATTCAGGTACACAGAACATAACGAACACTGTATTATTTATATATGAACTCATGTAAATATGTTTGGATTGATTTCTGTTTCCCGTTAATTTCTGTATATTCTGTTCCTGTATTCCCCCCTAAATGTACACATTTTCTTATTTGTTTCAATACACAATCATTTATTTGCGTACTTCTTTATTGTTTGATTATGATAGGGTGTGTTACTCAAGTACGTTGCATAGTGAACAATTCAGTTATCATTAGCTTATGAAATAAAATAATATGATTTGAAACAAATCCCCCTGTACAATGTTTTGCATAACAACAAGCAGCCTTGCATAAAGACCTTAGGGAGTGTTTTGTCCACCTGCGTTCACTTGTAAGAAACACCACTTGATTTCTAAACGTTTTACTTACTAAGGTTTTCACCAGCTGTTAGCACAGATGGAGTAGATACTAACCTGAGTCTGTTCACATTCATGAGTCTCCACTTCCCTCCAGTGGTCACAAGGAAGAACTGCAACATCTGCAGTCACTCCTCTCCTCTGTGTGTTCACATCCTAAAGCTATAGGAGCCAGAGAGCAAGAAGAAAGGTTGCACTTAGTAAGCTTCTTGTAAGGCTCGTACCTGCATGCACGTCTGGAAGTGCACATATGATATATAAAGCAATAAACCTATGCAAGCTGATTGGAAATTATATCATAATTGATTGTAATTACAATTTGTCTTCATTGTACCTTGCTGTCTGATTGTCTTGCCTTCACATGATCATTATACGATATAAGAATAAGACAATAAGTCTATAGAGAGAATTATCCTTTCTATTTGATTAATCAATACATTAATAGTGTAAGTAATACAAGGCACTTCATACAAAAGCATCCAAGCAAGTCATGCTCCAATTATATTTGATATAAAACAGAATATATAGGATAAATACATGTCCTAAAATATGTCACCTTCCCAAGGTTACTCTATGCCAAAGGGCATAGCGTAATTTAGGTAATATTATATTATATATAATATAATATTATTTTTGAGATAGCCATTAATAACATTTATCAAATATATTTTGCAGACCAATGTATATTTAGTGTGGGAAAAACTAAAAAACATTTATTTTCTACTGACGTTTGGTTCTGAGCGAAGACTACGCCTCCCACAATGCAACGCGTATTCAACATGGCGTCTCACAGAACTGCTTGACTTCTGGCTACAAGACCAAAACAAAGCTGAAGCTAAACAATACGGTGTAGTGAGTTTATAATAATATAACAGGCAGGAGGATGAAACTGTTGCTGAATGTATTAAAACGAATACACAAACCAGCCGTTTACAGCAGTCAGCCCCGCTGCCGGAGCTCGTCTGCCCGCAGCGGCCTGCTGCCTCTCCGGGATGAGGCTCTCATCGTCGGGTCAAACCCGGAGCTGGTGCAGAGACTCGGGCCACAGGTGGAGGTGAGGACGGGCTTCATCACTGAGGAGGAGGAGGGGGCTTTCATGCAAGAGCTGGAGCTAGGCCTGAAGAAGAAACGCTACGAATTTGACCATTGGGACGGTGTAAGTACTTCAGAAGTACAGGGATAATAGTTGAGAAGGGTATACTATACACACATTTCACGTTTGGCTATTCAAAGTGCATAGGAGTTGCAACGCACACCTGTTACATAATTACGATAAATTAAGCTCATGAAGGCTACCGTCTGACATTTTAGAACCTATCAAGAAAATAAAGGACCAGTCCATCACTTTTGCAGCCTTCTCTCATAGCTATCAAAATATAGACCTTCTCTTGAATCTGTCACCAACTATATAAAACATTTATTTTTGTAGCCAAATCCTACACCTGTTGATATTTGAATTTTCCTGTTTCCGGTTATAGTTTTTTGGTTATGCAAATCTCTTAATAATAACCCCACTCTGCTGTTCTGGCCTACGTTTGCAGCAATAACAATTAGTAACAATCTACATTAAAACAAGTGCAACACAAGCCTGCAATAGACACATAGTTTCACATTAAAACACATCTAATAACTTTGTATGCAAATGTTTCCAGTGACCAACAGCACCAACACAGGCTGTTGAATTATTTTTGCTCATTATTTCAACAGTTTTGCCATTCACTTACTGCTAACTTAAAGCACCAATGTATTTTAAATGACGGTGAAATAGTCATTTCTGCTGTGTTCACGTCACCTCATTCAGGCTATTCACGGGTACCGAGAGACTGAGCGAGTGATGTGGGGGGAAAGGTGTGAGGAGGTCTTGAGTCGTGTTCGATCTGGAGCGTTTCCTGAGGGGAGTCCTCTCCTCGGGCCGGTGCACATTCTGGATCTGGACAAGACTGGCTACATCAAGCCTCACATTGACAGTGTCAAGGTTTGTCTTGTTTTTTCTCTGCATTCAGACAAAGAAAACTATCACAAATGCTCTGACATTTACAATACCATCAGCACTGTAACAGTTTGATACAACCTTTTGTGTTGGCTCCGCTGTTACCCCATCAGATGTGGTCTTACTGTCGTTCTCTCTGTCTTTTTCAGTTCTGCGGCAGCACCATTGCTGGGTTGAGTCTCCTGTCAGACAGCATCATGCGCTTAGTGAAGGAGGATGACGCCGAAGAATGGCTGGACCTGCTGCTGCCCCGATTCTCCCTCTACATACTGAGGTCCAGCATGTGGTCTACGTATATTGCCATGGAGTTATGTCCTATAGTTGTTAAATCCTTGACTCTGAAAGCACTGTTATTTGTTTCACCCTGCTCTCCTTTCTCCCATACAGGGACCAGGCTAGATATAACTTCACCCACCAGATCCTGAAAGATGAGGAGTCTGTTTTTAACGGACAGAGAGTGCCTCGGCTGCGTCGAATCTCCGTCATCTGTCGGAACCTTCCGGGTTAACAACCACTTCCTCTCAGCTTGGAAATGAACAATACATAACATAAATAAAGAATGATGTCACTGATCACCACTAAGATCTAAAAATATGTACCATAAATTACCAAGTTTTGTTTGGTTAATATATTGATATGATATGGTAAAGTGTCCGGGACATTTATTGCAGTTGAGACACTCTCCATATTGTACAATTGAGAACTATTTATTGGATTGAGTCACAGTACAAGAGTACTTAAATGAACCAGTATACTAGCAGTGGTGTTTCACAGCGAGTTCACCTGCGCCACATAGGCTGCCGTTTGAAAACACACTCAATTAAATGTGTGAAATAATTTTGTATATGTTGTTGGTTCTCCATAAGATGGCGGGTTGGCTCCTGTGATTATTCATGTTGTTATGCAGGTGTTCCTCCACTTGTCACGGTTTGAGTGAAGGAAGCAGGACCCATTGATTGATTGATTGAAAAGTTTATTAACAGCTTGTATATTGGGTACAGTACAGTACAGCTCAAAACATACAATTGTTAAGGGGATGCAGACCAGAGAAAGACTTTCGTCTTGTTTACATCAGGGTCCCCCATTTCCAATTCATCATGTCATTTAAGACATATAAGACATATTTGACATACAGATGGCTTATTTACAATTTACATACAGGTGGTTTTTTTACATACAGATTGCTTGTTTACAATTTTCATTTTAGATTTCGTTCTAATACATCCTAACCGGACATTTAAGACATACCAAGTCTACAGATATACAGTTAGTAACAGAGTCTAAAATGCGAGTATATACATAGATGGGGGGGGGGGGGGGGGGGGAAGCTGTCCATTGTACGACAGGTTGAGATTTGTACCATTACCGGGGCCAGTTTTGCAATGCTCTCCCCCGAAGGTGCTCTTTAAGAGAGGTTTTGAAGGTAAGTATAGTTTTACTTTCCTTTACAGTTGTGGGAAGAGCGTTCCACCTTGATGTGGCATAATTGCGAAACGTGTATTCCCCCTTTTTTGTGCCAAATCTGGGTTTCACATGATTTGTGGAGCTCCCTCTGGTGTTATGATCATGGTATTCCTTGACCTTTGGGAATAATTTTGACATGTACATGGCAGAGTTCCCGTTAGAATATTTTTTCGCCGGTCAACATGTCCGTTCAAGTTTAAATCTTCCGGACAACATTTGAAAAGTGCCGGTCAAAGATCTTATTTGTTATTTATTGAGCTTTAAAACAAATTGATATGATTCGATATTAAACAAACTAATTATAGTAGATTAACTATTCAAAAGTGTACAGTAATTTACAATAACACGGGAATAATAAACGGAGCGCTCTCCCCCTCTCCTGACAGCCCGTCATGCAGCAGGCGGAACAGTGATGAGTAACCCGACAGTAAAACTAAACATATCTATAACCAGTTACGGTAGTTTGAGAGGTCATTAAAATAGCTACGTGTGATATTCTAACCTGAAGTGTGTGTGTTGTCCGCTCACCGCTGCAGGTGATCATGCAGAGCTGCGTGTCGACTTGTCAGCAGCAGCTGATCTCTCTCTCCCGTCAGATTAGACTTTACTCGCGTGTATCTCCATATCGATCAGGTCTAGCTAGTTCTAGCTAATGATATGACTATCTGCTTATTAAAAGACACCTAAACAATAAGCGTCGCTATGAAACCGGGTGAGGCAGCAAAGTATAGCGCAGCATTATGCATTTGTTTACATGCCCACCGGAACCCCGAGGCATTACCAACAGATCAACGCACAATCAACCCATCCAGGACATCTCTTTCTCCACATTAACTGTTAGACATTATAATTGACTATTCTTGTCTGTCACATACTCTTTTGTCTGTCACATAAGTGGCGCAAATTGCGCAACTGATGCGGTATTGCGCTAAACGGAAATTATTTGGACGGACACTTTGACCGGAGAGATTTAGATTTGCCGGTCTTCAGCATATTTTACCAGTCATAGTCCGGTAATTACCGGCTAACGGGAACTCTGGTACATGGGTACCATAGAGGTGTAGTGGATCTTGTAGACCAGGCCCATTGCAAGTAGCTGTACTCTGTCGTCTACTCTAAGCCATCCTAGGTTGTCAAAGTGGGCAGAGGTGAGGTGGGTTCTAGATGAAAGGTCAAGCAGTAGTCTGACCAGTTTATTTTGCGATGTTTGAAGTTTTATTTTTAGCGCCTTGGAGGTGCTATGGTACCCTGACGTGCAAGTATAGTCATAGTACCCTTGAATGAGTGCTCCTGCCAGAGTTTTCAGGGTGTTTTTGTTTACCAGAGAGGAGATCCGGTATAGGAATCTAGTTCTTTGATTGACTTTTTTTATTACATTGGATGCCATTTTGTCACAGGAGAGGTTTGCCTCAAGAATAGATCCTAGGTATGTAATTTCCTTCTTACTTGTGACAATAATGTCGCCCACTGCAACTGAGAAGTCGTCGGATTTGCTGAGATTATGTTTCGAACCGAAGAGAATGGACTCTGTTTTACCCAGGTGTAATGATAATTTATTATCGGCGAGCCAGGTGCAGATTCTGCCGAGCTCGGAGCTGAGGGTTTTTTCAACCTGCAACCCGTTCCTGTCAGAGACCATGCAGGGCTGAGTCGTCCGCGAACAGGAACATATGAGGGGCCGTACAGGCCGTAATTCATACTGGTCCTCTCACGCACATACATTCTCCTTTTACATACATATATTTTCACTCTTACATACATACATTCTCCTTTTACATACATACATTTTCACTCTTACATACATACATTCTCCTTTTACCTACATATATTTTCACTCTTACATACATACATTCTCCTTTTACATACATACATTTTCACTCTTACATACATACATTCTCCTTTTACATACATATATTTTCACTCTTAAATACATACATTCTCCTTTTACATACATATATTTTATAATATATGCATGTGTGAAGACAATATATGTATGCAAGTGAAGAATGTATGTATGTGTGAAGACAATATATGTATGTGAGAGAAGAATGTATGTATGTGTGAGAGAAAGTATAGTGGAAACGGAAGGAGTATGGTTGAAACGGAAGGCAGGTCATTCTTGCGCGGTGATTGGCTCAGAAGGTCGAGCGGGGCGGGCTCATGTTCAGAACTTCTGATTCAAATCAACATGATGGAGGGAGAGGGTTAGGGTTAGATGACTCCGTGTATCTACGGACCACTTGTTTTTCTTTATTAAACAAGTAAACGGAAGAGTGTCTGCGAGGCGTTTTTGCTTTTTGTTTTTTACCTTACTAAATGGTCTAATGGTCATTGTAGCGAGCCCCCCTACTCGCGGAAGTAATTTCAAAACAAAAAGCACTCGTTTGCTTGGAACGTTGAACATAATTATAAACAAGGGGAAACAAGGTGAATTTAATGATCACAACGAAAACGGCCAAGACACACATTGAGCCCAGAAAATGAATGTTATTAAGGCTGTAAATATAATAGGCATGTGTCTAAAATGGACAACATTGTTAGGAGATTTAAACTATACAGCGATTCTGCACTGCGGTCACTCAGCCGTCTCTCGCGTTTATCTTTTCAAATCAGCTGCTCTTCATATTTTACAAATATTTTTTACTGAAAGTTCTTAATAAAACTGACACTGTTGGACTCGAGGGGAGAAGAATAAATGGACAACATTGTTAGGAGATTTAAACTATACAGAGAGCCGTTTTTTCAAATCAGTAGCTCTTCATTTTCTTTTTACAAATATATTTTACCACAAGTTCTTCATAAAACTGACACTGTTGGACTCGGTACTAGTTTGACTGCTACTAACAATACATTGAAGTACTTTTACTGTGTACTTTGTGAGAAATACTCTGTCAAAGTCCCCTCCATATAGCACATAATCTAATGCATCAGTCCGTCCCAGGCGGGAGTTTATAAACCAAAGGGTAACCGCCCTTACGGCACGCTCTGATAAGTAAAGCGAACGCACCCGCAAGGACACCTGGCCAGGGATGTGACAGTTTCAGGGGTTGACAAAATGTTCCTTAAAACCCCTAATGCTTGCTGCAATCTACGCGAATCATCTCCCTCCATCATGTTATGTTGATTTGAAATCAGAAGTTCTGAACATGAGCCCGCCCCGCTCGACCTTCTGAGCCAATCACAGCGCAAGAATGACCTGCCTTCCGTTTCAACCATACTCCTTCCGTTTCCACTATACTTTATCTCTCACATACATACATTCTTCTCTCACATACATATATTGTCTTCACACATACATACATTCTTCACTTGCATACATATATTGTCTTCACACATACATACATTCTTCTCTTGCATACATATATTCTCTTCAGACATGCATATTATAAAATATATGTATGTAAAAGGAGAATGTATGTATGTAAGAGTGAAAATATATGTATGTAAAAGGAGAATGTATGTATGTAAGAGTGAAAATATATGTATGTAAAAGGAGAATGTATGTATGTAAGAGTGAAAATGTATGTATGTAAAAGGAGAATGTATGTATGTAAGAGTGAAAATATATGTATGTAAAAGGAGAATGTATGTATGTAAGAGTGAAAATATATGTATGTAAAAGGAGAATGTATGTGCGTGAGAGGACCAGTATGAATTATGGCCTGTACGGCCCCTCATAGGAACAAGTTGCAGTCACATGCTGATGACATGTCATTTACATAAATTAGGAACAGTAACAGACCTAATATGCTTCCTTGTGGAACACCACAGCTCACTGGGAGGGGGGGGGGGGACAGAGTACCGTTTACCTCCACCATCTGTTCTCTCCCCTCCAGGTAGGATTGCATCCAGCTCACCGATAGTTTATCAAAACCAATTGCTTTTAGCTTGTCAATCAGAATGGGGTGATTGACAGTGTCGAAAGCCTTTTGTAGGTCCAGCATCACCATGCCGCAGTACTTGCCCTCGTCCACTTCTTGTTTGATGTGGTCGCTCAAATAAAGAAGGCATGTGTCAGTGGAGTGGGATGTTCTAAAGCCAGATTGAAATTCATAGATTAGTTTATTTTCCGCGAGGTACTTTTCGACCTGTTCATATACTATTTTTTCCATGACTTTCGAGATGGAG